AACACTGTCAAAAATCTTTTAAATCTCTATCTCTTCATCTGTTAAATCTGTATTTGATATATCATGTTTATAAAAAATAGATTATTAGACTAACAATAAGATTAAACTTTAATTTATAGTAGTTACTTATTGTTTATGTGCTACCGAAAATTCTTTTGGTAAATCCCTTTTAATAGGGCATTTTCGTTACTATAAAGAGGGATTTCTTTTAAATTAATTTTTAAGATTAAATTAAAATTAAAATTAAATTTGTTTAAATGTTTTATAAAGTACAAAAGTACAAAAGCAAATTCGAAATTTCGAAATAATGATCTCTTTTAAATAAATTTGGTCTCCCCTAAATCTTTTTTTCGTCTTAGATAGACATTTAAGATCATTTCCAATTACCCAAAATTTGCCTATTTTCTCTCTTCTCTCCCTTTATCACCTTCTCTCTTTTTTTAATTTTATTCCCATTAATGCCAGCTATATACATATAAAATTTTAAACAAATAATATTAACATCAGATTCAAATTTTATTTCTCAATTATTCAAGGAGCATGCATATATATGTAAATGTATTTTTATTTAATTAAAAATTTTGTTTAAAGAATTTTATTAAAAATTGTTTTATGAAGTAAAAATTTTTATTGGAGTTTGCCCTACGCCACAAACTGCGACTTTTTATTCTGAATTCTGATACCGTTCACAACCCTCAAATAAATCCTTATAAATTCCCACTCACACTTATGCGTGAGTTTTTTTCTGGCTATGTTTTTTAGGATAATTTTTAATAAAAATTAAGATAAAATTCAACTTAAATTTTAATCGTAATTTAATAATTCTTATAAATATTAAGTTGCCAGTTTTAATATAAAAAAATTAAATTTAAACTTATCTTAGAATTATTTATTCCAAAGAATTTTTTGTAATGTCAACTTCACCACCGTGTGTAATACTATCTTCATCCTATTCATCCGCTCAATATTTCCCATCTTCTCAATTAACCAAAACTCCAACATCAGTTACCAAAGTAACAAATTTGGATACTAATACTATTCAAAACAACAACTCAAAATCAGATGAACATTTAAATGTTGGAAAGATTATCAGGAAAGAATTCTCAGACTGCCGGGTTTGCGGTCAAGAGGCAAAATGTCACAATTTTGGAGTTAAATGTTGTCACGGTAGGATTTTAATATTTGAATTGAAAATGAACAATCTCAATTTTAAGAAATAGTTGGTCTATCAATTAATTTTTTTTTAATTTTTTACAAAAATAAATTATTTTATAATTGTAAATTGTTTATTAAGCCTGCCGAATGTTTTTCCGTCGATCAGTTTTGAGTCTAAAAGTGTTTCGTTGCAAATCTGGAGGAAAATGCCAAACAAAAAAAGGTGTGTTTTGAAAAGCTTTTTAAATTGCGAAGTATTTTTATTTGTGAATTATTGACCATTTTTCATAATTACAGTCGAATCTCGCCCTCTAACACAACAGTTTCCTTCATCATTTAGAAATCCATTTTGATCTATTGTTACTCCTTCGGATTCTCTCAAACATTACTCCTCCGGATTCTCTCAAACAATTCCCTTGATAGGCCAAACATTTTGGCAAAATTCGGTCCAACTTTCAATTTTTAGGAGAAAAATGTCGTTCCTGTCGCTTTGATACATGTGTAAAAGAAAATATGGATATTTCTTTAATTCAATTTCCGGCTGGTTATAATTTTCAAAAAATGAAAGAATGGTTATCTAAGAAAAGGAAAGAATTAATGGCTAATAATATTGCAAGACATTTAAAGGGTCCTCAAAATAATTTAACAGATGTTCGTAATAGCATTATCTACAATGCAAATGATAATATGATTAAAACTAATGTTTGTTTTAATGAACTTACCGTATAAGCTGAAATAATTATCCTGGGTAATAATTGTTTCAACCCTTGGATGGAGGGGTAATTAAAAGGCAGGAGGTGAGAGAGTTGTTTAGCCTACGTAATTTTTTAGCCTTCGTAATGATTATTTTTAATATTTCCTAAAAATAAGGGTCAATTATTTGAGAGAGGGTAATTATTTCAGCATTTCCGGTATACGTAAATATTCCTAGAATAGCATTAATATTTTCAAAGGTTCCTCAACATGTAAATGTACTTGACGTTGATTTGGAAATGTTGTTATCAACAGAAAATAAAGCTGTAAAATTACGTCAATCTCCAAATAATTTATTATTAGAATATTTATTTACAAAAAGTTTGGAAAATTTAATTGAAAGTAAAACGAATGTATTGGATTTTATTGAACTTTTTGGAATGGTAGAAAATTTAAATTTTTTTTAATTTTTAAAATTGTTATCTTAAGAATGGCAAACAGTTGATTATAAATGAAAATTTATTTAAAGAAGGAAAAAATCTCCCAACTATTGGAAATTATCAAAATTTGGATTTTCTTTTGGAAATTGAAATTATGAGGAAATTACCTATTTTTGATAAAATTCCATTTGAAGATAAGGTAAAGATTAAAACTTTGTTTGAATTTTTATCACCCTCCTCCATTTCTAAGAAGTAAAATTTTTTATAGATCTGTCTCTTTCGCTCAAATATCCATCGTCTAGTAACTCTCTCAAATTGTTTTCAATCTGTACAAATGGGAGAATCATCAGTTACATATCCAAATGGATTGCATCTAGGCGATTTTTGTAAAAATTTGTTTGAAAAAATGTTCACTGGAGAAGATTTGAAGAGGTAATTTTCTTTGATTTTTAAGTAATTACCTTAATGCCCTACATAAATCCGGATCTGCCTTATAATCGGCTTTATGTTGGGAGCCTATATACAAGCGACACTATCTGACACATTCGATTGTATTTAATTTTATTAATTTATAGATATCAAGTTTTGAGAAGACGAGCATTTACTGATATAATATCAGAATTTAAGCCCTATAATTTAACACAACAAGAATATGTTTTACTCAAAACAATATTATTTTGTAATTCAATACCAGAAAACATCAGTCAAAATTCCAAAAATTTATTAAAATTAGAGGCAGAACGTTATGGACAAATATTAATGAAATATTTACAAAATTTATTGGGGAATTTTAAAGGAGCAATGAGACATGCAGAATGTGTATTATCTATTGGGAAAATATTCGACTATAATAGACAGCAAACTATATTCTATAAAATGGTGGATGAAAAAATATTTGATAATAATGAAAGAAATTCTGGATTATTTACAGACAGAATCTTTAGTTTTTCAACAAAGTATACATAATAGGATTCATCATGTAAATAGTAGCTTAATTTTTAATTTATTTTCATTTTTAAATTATTTTTGCATTTTCTTTTATGTACATATTACCCTTGGTGTGATTTATTTATTATTTTTATTTAAGAATAAATTTTAATTTTAATAACCTCTTCTGAAACTATTTTTATAAAAACAAATGCTTAAAAGAATTATTTCAAAAAGAATTATTTAATTTCTATAATCCTTCACTGCTAGATGGTCCACCAGCTGTTAGGTATTGTTGGTGTTGTGTTTGAGGTTGAATTGCTCTGAAAATGAAACAAAACATATTTAAATTAATTTCAATAAATAAATTTTTATTCCTTCAAAAATAAAATTCTTTATAAATTTCCATAATTGTAAACTTTCACCTTCTCATACTTGGGGTTCTACGCCAGACAGCACTGGATTCACGGCTTGCTCTTTGAGAAGAATATTCACCTATTATATCTCCCTCTACTGCTGTATGGCCACCAATATTTCCACGAAATTCTATTTCGAACTTAAAAATATTTATAGAAAAAGTATAGTGCGATTCTTTGAAAATATCCCATTCTGGGTAAGTTTAAGCAATAAAGAAATTCAGTTCATGAAAGTATTTTAAAATACCTTAGTTGCACATACAAAACAGGCAGTAACGAGCTTGGCTATTTCATTCATTAATCGTTTTGTCTCAGAAATGACAGCATCAACCTCAAATAAAATTTGTTTTTTTAGTTTTAAATTCAATTAATATGTACTTTATTAAAAGTCGCCGTCTTCCCAACAGTCGGACTTTTAACTAAAACTTGTAATTGCTGACAATGAACAGGGATTTTTTCTAATATTTGTAATAAATCATTCTTTTCTGCACTTCCAGGAACCTTTAAAATAATATTAGCTTGTTTGTTACTTTTTTAATAAAACTTCAAAAGCAAATTCCTTGACAGTTTTATGCATCTTATTAGCTTGTTCTGCAAAAAATTCTGCTTGAGTGAACAAATCGTGTGTTGTTTTTAATGGACCATCTCCTTTAGTGAATAAATACATGTTGTAAGACATAGCTGACATTGTCTGGGAAGATTATAAGAAAAATTTATTAAGCAAAATCTGAACATACCTTTGCTCTTTTAACAATATCATTCTCCGCATATTTATCCCAATTTTCGGCTTCAGCTTCCATTTCATCTGTTAATAGCTTCATTTCTAACCCAACTTTAGCAATTTTTTGGTGATCTTCCAAGTCGAGAGTTATTGGTTTTGTAGGTTTGAAAGTTGTTCCATGCCTCTGAATCGTTTAGATATATTTTATTTAATAAAGCCTCATGGGGCTTTATTTTTCAACTATCCTCCAACGTGGAGGGTCTATTTTAGAATGGTTAGAATGGGGGAGCTTAGGAAATAATTCAATTCACTTCTCTCTCCTAGATTAAGAATAAAAAACAATATTTAAAATTCAAGTTAACACAAACACAAGCAAACTTAAAATAATATAAAATATTTAAAAAACAAAACTAAACTTAAGTTATTAATAAAACAAAAAATTAAGTCGGATCAACAAAACATGTTCAAAATAAAACTAAAATATATCAAAAACTCAAGTTCAGAGTTTTATCAACACACCCAAACTAAAATTAAAAATAAATAAAACACATTAAACTTAAATTCATATTAATAAAACACAAAAGCTTAAGTTCAAACCAAATAAAAATACAATACATACACAAAATAAAATTACAAAAATAATTTAAATTATTGCTTTTCTTGTTGTTTTTGTATTTTCTGTAATTGAATTAAACTTTCTGCCTCAGCTTGCAGACTTTCTAAAATTTGGCTAATTCTTTTCTCGAATTTATTATTGCCATTTTGATGTTTATTTGAAGGATCAAGTTTTGCTGCTTTTTTCTCTCTCATTCGAACAACAAAATTATTCTTATTATTGTTCCGATTATTTTCTTCTAAACTTGTCACATCATTTTCTTCTTCATATTCAATATCTTCTTCTTCATCATCATCATCTACTTCATCACACTTGGCTAATGGAGCTATTATCGGTTTTTTCTTATTAACGGTAGTATAAATGTTGTTTTCTTCTGTTTGAATTAGATTCTGGTGATCAGAATTATGTAAATATTCAGTTACATAGCCACTTGTATTGGAAGAATACTTAACAAAAAATTCTATAGAATTAATTAATAATTTAAAGTTTATAGACCGTCTTTAGGATTTAATAAACCCCAAAATTTAAATTAAAGAATCCCAGACCGACCCTTCCATATCGAAGCACAAATATTTATTTTCTACCTGTGTACTCGCTGTAGTTGTTGTATCAGAATCTTCCCATTGTCTTAAAATTACAGGTTCATCAAATCCAATTCCAGTACGATTAAATTTTACTATTCCATTTGCTGATTTTGATTTCTTTAAATCTTTTTTATTTTCCAAATTTTGTCTTCTAATTGGTGGGGAAGTATAAACAAATATTTGTGGTGATTTTGAAGAAATTGTTGAAGTTTTCGGTTGTTCCTGATGTTGGTTGATAAACTTATCGTAAGGCGTAAATGCTGAATTTGGACATAATTTTGTTGCGTCTACATCTTTACTTTCTGCCTTAAAAACAATTTTTTAGTTTTACTGTTTTAGTTTAATAAACATGAATGAAATAAATCCTAGTTATATTATCTAAAGATCATGAATTTTAAAAACCTTAACCTTGATTCTTGATTTTTGTTGAGGACCTTATCCAGATCCTTGACCTTGAGTAAAGGAGAAAGCAAAAAACACTGAAAACTCCTTTGATCCCGACTCAGGATCCAGAAAAATTAATGTCTGAATCCATATCCAGCCCAATCTCTAGTTATATCGAAATTTCCTACCTTATCACCATTCTCCTGCGTTTCAAGCGATGGGCGTTTCACAATCTCTGCATAAAGGGGTGAATGCGATCTAATGTTAGTTTCTTTATTATCAGCAGTATCTTCCTCAATAGCATCAATCTCTTGATTATTTTGATCATCTTTATTTACAATTCCTGTTTGAAGCGATTGACTTGATTCTGAAAAATCTTCATTTTCTTCTTTAGAAGGTTTAATATCTTTCAAATTATCTTCATTAACACGTTCGTTGTCATTAAAAATTTTAATATCATTTTTCTCATATTTTCCAGCATCTAAATATTCTCCATCCGATTTTACCTCTTTTTCAATACCCAACTTTTTCTTTTTATCCTTAGCTTTTTTAGTTTCCTCTTCATTACCTCCTTTAATCCTCCTAAAAATAGCAGAAATACTCATTAAATTAATTCCACTTTTATTCTTCTTTTTTAATTCTTCCAAACTTCCATCTTGACTAACATTCTTAGGTGAAAAATGTTCTTTATCTAGTTGCCGATTCTTTGAAGATTCCAATGACAAATTTCTTTCTTTTTTCTTCTTCACTTTCGCATCCTTTTTTGACATCCAACTATTCGTTTCTTTATTTTGTTCTGATTTTTCTTCATAAATTTCTTCTGATGGTTTTGGTGTATCAGATGGTTTTATCTCAACACTAGAAGTTTGAAATAATTCCGAAGTAGTTGTTGTATTTGAAATAAAACCAGAATTATCAGAATTGTTTTGTTGAGGCATAAAAGGCAAAACAGAATTTTGTTGAAACTGAGGACAAACACCACCACTAACACTAACACAACTATTTAAATTATTAACAAAACCACTGCAAAAAAGATTATTAGAAGCAAAATTAGCAGTTGTAGATGAACGTGTTGAAGAAGATAATAATGGACTACTCCCAGGAGTATTATAGTTATTAGACCACCACATAAAATTACTCACTCCTGGCCTGGGAAGTGACATATAAGCCTGTTTTTCAGCTGCTAAACGACCGGAACATGCCGCATCTATTTCCTTTGTGAGACGAGCCAAATCGTTGACCTTTTAATTATTTTTTAGAAATCAATTCATTTCACTTACATTAGTTGCCCATGTATCGCAGAACACCTCCAAATTTTCTCGTGCAATTCTTGAAGAGGGATGAACGCATAAAATTCGGCCAGATAATAATGTCTAAATAATCCTTTTAGAATTATTTAATCAAAGGATATTTTACCAAAGGAGCCAATGATCGAAGATTCCTCTCAGCATGTCCAGTAAAAACATGGAGTGCATCTGTAATCGAAATATGATGAAGAAGACGACAAACCTAAATTATTAAGCTTAAATTTGGGGATTTTCTACTAAAATACTTCTTGTAAATGTTCAGAATGTATACGAAATTGTTCCAGGAAACGTTCAACACCGTCTATATCACCAGAGATTGAACAAGTTTTTAATGATGATAAAAGGGTCTGATCTTCGTTTTGACGAAATACTGAAGCTATCTAAAAAATATTTAGTTAGAATTCAAAAAATTTGTTTTTCATTCCAAGGGGGTATCCAGGGGCCCTGAAATCGTCTTGATCCATATCCCCCAAATCCGACTTCTTAGCCTTCCTGAAATCCGAACCTCGTTACGCGGCCTTACTTCATTCTAACCTGTTCTAATGCCACTAGTTGTAATTGTTTACGTAAATCTTTTAATCTTCTGTTCAATCTTTCAACAGTTACTTGAATACTTTCATTTCTCAATCTTTCATCATTTCCTATTTCCGATGTTGGAGGATTAACTAAATTTCCCATTTCAAATCTACACTCTTCTAATAGATCCAAAATTTGTTCTCTTTGTTGATTTGGTGTCCACGAAGAATCAGTAAAGTCTGTGCTCATTTCGCAAAGGGCGGTTAAAGCAGATATTAAACGTTCTCGGACGCCAGCTCCAATTAAGGACATCATTCGACACATATCCAACTTTAAAAATAAAGGTGACATGATAAAAATTGTTATTCTTATGCTCACCATTTCACACAATTGTCTAATCGCAACTGAAGCTGTCAATTGTATTCCAATATCCAAAGGTCCATCCTAATATTTACAAAATTATTTTTAAATTTATCTTATAATAACCGTTGCAAGTGATAATTCATCTAAAGGAGAGGAATAAGCAGACATTGCATCAAAGGCCATTACACCATCAGTTACACATATGGCTATTAATTGTAATGCAGAACGGATTTGGTGAAAGACACCATCTCGGCATTGCCTTAAAATAATTTGAAGGACCATAAAAAATCTAAAACCAAATATTTTACCTAGCAGCAGGGTCATCAGGATGTCTCAAAAGTGTTTTAGCGGATGTCAATAGAAGCATTGTAAGCCTTTCTAATTGTGCTCTAGCAACTTGCATTTGTGCCTGCCTTTTTTCACTTTTCAGATCTTGTTGTCTATAACCAGAACGATGTGCCAGATCCACCATTTGACCACCAAATTCAGTAAAAATTTGGACAAATTCAGTAAAATTAGAAGTATGCTCTAATTTAGTAAGAGAATAAGCTATTTTATCTTCAGCTCGGAGAATGTGTTTAACAAGTACACGATCAGCCAAAAGTAAAACACTAAAAGTGATTTGTATTTTAAAGTACCTACTTTACTAAAAAGGTTATTTTTTGAACTGGACCTCCAAATCTTAATAGCTCAGCTTAACCGCTTTAGATTAAGTTAAAGATCCTTTCTTAAGTTAAGAATATAGGTGTCTTAAAGCTCAAAGATTGAAAAGCGACAATCTTTAACAATATTTAGCCCAATAATTATACAAATTATTTCAAAAAATCAAAAATAAAAACCGTGTAACAGAAGAAAGTAACTGCCTAGCAGCTCTAACTAATTGTGTTGTATTAACATTTGGGAATATTGCAGTACCCCCATTTTCTACGGGAAAATTAGAGGAATCGTGCATTGGTTCTGCCAGCATTGAACCATGCAAATTGGCAATAGAAGAACCTTTAAAAATTTTTAAAATATTTTTTAAAGGTTAAAAACCAGCAATTCTAGCTTCATGACAAGCATCATAAAGCTCTGGTTGAATATCTGGGTTTTCGTCTGCAATAGTTTCTCCAACAGCAACAAAGCGTTCAACAGCCGCTTCTACTGCTGTTCCAATCTTTAAGGAAGGAAAAATGTTTCTAACTCCAATTAAATTTAATGCAAACTTTAAGAGCTGCTCGAAGTGCTCTATCTGACTTTGGTCTTCCTCCAGTCAAAATAGTTTCTTTAAAATTAACCAAAGTTGAGATCTTTAAAATTTAATTTTTATTTTCTTTAAAATTAAGTCTAAACCTGTTGAACAAGAGGTAGTAAAGTTTGTTCAACTGAATGGGTTTTTATTTCCAAATTTCGGGGATCAAAACTGGCAGATGTTTGTTGTTTTTGTTGGATAGAAGTAGATGCAACTGGATTTTGTTGGGGAAAGTTGGGTCCGTAAAGTGGAGAAATATGCAACGGAAGACCTTGAAATGAGTTTTAAAAACTTCCCAATATTTTACTTTTAAAACAATTATTTTTTTCAATTATTTCAAAATTTTATTAATTAACCATCATTCGAAGCTATTGTTTGCTGAGCAATCGATCCATGCTGTGAGGTGGACATAGCGGAAGCGGAGATAGAATGTTGGTGCTGTCGAAGCATAGATGCATTGTTCATTGTGGCGTGTATTAAAGGACAGAGCATAAAAAATATTTTTACATACTATTTATTTTTATGCAGCTGGTAATTAATTTTTTGTTGATGAATGTTTTTCTTTGAGAATTCAGAAAATTGTTTAGAAAAAAATATTTTTATTGTTTAAATTTTATTTTAAAAATTTTGTGATAATTTAATTAGAAAAAAAAAGCTTGAAATGACATTAGAAAACACATAAAACATAAAATAGTGTTGTTAATGATTGGCCCAACTAACTAGTAATACTTGCTATTTTTACACTAAAAGGTAGAAGTGTAAAGTAAAAAAAGTGAAGGTAAAATGACAGAGGAAATGGGTCGATTTTGTCGCAACAACCTCCAAATGTACTCTAAAAAAATAAATTTGAAAGATGGGTTCCGCATTAAAAAATAAAAATTAAAAAATTATATTAGGGATCGAGGCCAATTTATTTAGATTTTGAAGGAATAGAGGCAGTAGTATTGTATAAAAATAAAAAATACCTCTCAATTGGTATGTACATATAACAATTTTTTAATGGATTTGCATATTATTTTTTAACTTTGTGATTTAAAAAAATGCATGTCCTAGATTTGGTCTTTTTTTTTAATTTTTGAATAATTTATAAAAAATTTCCAATTTCGTAGGATCGAATTATTACAACTTGTAAAAATTATTTGTAAAAAACTAAGAATTTATAATTGTAAAAGTTTGTACAATTTGTAAAAAATAATATGTAGAAGTTTTTATTTTGATGAACAGAGTGGATTTTTGTGAATAAAATCCTTGTGTATAAGAGAAAGGCAAACAGAGGCGCTAGCTAGTATGATAGATCCGCGCAGCGAATAAATTAATTTGTGTGGTGTTTGTTTTGGTATCCCGACGATTAATCAATTTGTTTTTTGATTGTTCAGCTATGATGGAAAACAATTAGATTTAGGAGTAAACTATTGGAAAACAAATTTGAAAAACAAAAAAATATTGAGACTTTTAGTGATGTTTTTTTAATTAATTTTAGATTGGTATTTGAGAAATATTGCCTAACTAAAATTTCCCATAGCTTATCTTAATTTATAATCTTATTACTATTATTAATATTATTATTAATAATATTTCCCATATAAAATCGTTCCAAACATTTCCAGAGCTTTATTATTTGGCTTATATTTCCTTTCAAAATTTTTTTGCTTCCCATCTGTCTCCGATCAATCAAAAAAAAAAACAGCCAGCCTGCAGCCATTTACAAGCTATTTAGTTAAAAGTCAACTCTGACTGATTGTTGACAAAAAAACTTTTTAGGCTTTTAATTATTTCAAGTTGCCTATAGCAATATTTCTCTCAAATAGAAAATTCCCCTCCCTCCTGCTCAAATAATTATTTAATGGCCCTTCATCATTTACTATACTATTTTTTAGCCAAATCCACGTTATTGATTATCTGCTTTATTTATTGTCAATTGTTGATTATTTTAAGTTAAGGCTAATGACCGAAATTTAATTGAATATGTAATACTGACACTAAATTTGATCACTACTTTAATTCTCTCTCTTTGACATATTCTAAAATAAGTATAAATCATTAAAACATTTATTTTTAATCACCCTATTTTCTCCAATAGAATGCCATGGTATCCTCCTAACCCAGATATCTCTCCAAATCCCTTTACAACCTCCAAATCCACCGTTATCCTCCTTGGAAGAAGAACATTGGACCTTTGTTCTTAGGGATTACCGGAAAAATTTCGGCATTAAAAACGGGGCATTCATTTTTTAATCCTCTTCCAAAGTGGCATTTTATTAGAGAGGTGCATTCAATTTGATGAATACGGTATTTTAAAAATTCAAAATTAAAGTAAGGACAAATAAATATCATCTACTATTTCATAAAAGATTGTTTATTTTGAAAGAAGGCTATAATCTTTCTCGCGCTTTAAATCTACTTAAAAATACTTTTAAAATCAAAGTAGATATTTAAAATTAAAAACTTTTTTTTATAATTTTTCAATGCTTGGAATGTTAATGCTTTATTATATTTATATAAATGTTTGCATTCCTTTAATCGACCATTCATCAAATTTTTAGTATTATTTAATAAACGTCATTTCCTTCGTGGAAAATCCTGTCAATTTATCTTATAGATTGTTTCCATTATCGAATTTTTAAAATACATATTTTTTAACATCTAAAAATAAAAAAATAAATCTGGCTATTTGCCAAATCTGCATAATTTGTAATTTTAAACGACAACAATAAGACCCAAAACAAATAAATCCTTTGCCATATTTTAATCTAAAAACTACGGCTAATTAATTTTTTTATTAAAAAATGATCTCAACTTTTACTTGTCTTCTTTTGGCATGGTTAATCAATTTATTTAATTAATCCTACATATTTAAATAAGGGTACTTTATTAATATCCCCTCCCTTATTTGTGTCTCAGTTACCTCAAGCTTTATAAGTCTATTTTTTCTTTTCTGCCTCGGAATGGTCAATAACATGTTTCCTTTTAATTCTCTGTTTTGTTCACCTGATTTAACTTATCATAAAATGCTTGAGGAAAGTAAATGATAAAAGTAAAATTAAACTGAAACTCAAACAGAGAGGGTGGGGATATTAATAAGGTACTTATTAGACAAGAATTAGATTCTAAAAAATCAATTTATTAGTTTTGTTGATTTGTCGCAACAAAAGTCCCAACATTTGCCAACAGTCCTTTTACCTTCAATCTTTCATTGGGACGCAAGCAATTTTATTTACATCACTCCTACACAGTCGACCTTGAGCGAGAAAGTTGGTTTAAAATTTGATAGAATTCATAAATTTATTGATTATTTTTAAAATTATTTTTAAAAATTTGAAATATGTATGTAACATAATTTTCAGTCTGTAGATATCAATTTACGAGTTGAAGGCGAAAGTATTCATGGAAATAAAACACTGATTTTTAGCGAGACAATTCGCCAGAGGGGTGGGTGATTGATTTACAATAAATATTTTTAAAAAATAATTTTTATAACTAGAGCCCTGAATTTCTTATCGTAACGAATTCCGTACCGTAATACAGAAAAAACCCGTACCGATAAATTGCAAAATTTTATCGGTCGACCTTCCTTCAAATACGGTACTGTCCGGGCTCTAATTATATCTTAAACTCTAATAATTATATTAATCTAGAAGGAATACAACAACACTTTAAAATTAATATACCCAGACTCGACACATCAAAAAATTTATTTAAAAATTTTTACGTCTCCATAAAGATTGATGGTCATTCTCCATTTTCTACAGTTTTAGCTGGTGCACCTGATATAAATCTGATTAATATACAAACAGATAAATTATTTTATAGGCCAAATGAGAGAAGTAAATTTGTGATTTTTATTTCTAAAATTAATTTATATAGTTAATATAAGGGCGCTGCCATTGACAAATAATAGACAGATTTATAAAGGACCTGTTCAATTCCAGTTACTGGTTGGTATTCTTTAGTTATCTTTTGTGTGATCAAGCACTTAAGTTTTCTTCTATTAATCAGCTTTTCATACATAATCACTAACCATTAGTGATTTATTGAAATTCCTTCTGTGTATAAACTTTAAAACTAAAAGTTAAACGGGTATAATTATGGTGAATTGAAACAAAATTTTTAGCATAGGGTCCGAAGGTATCCCCTCACTAATGAACCTTAAAAATCCGATAACATATGAATTTTTTCAAATTTTGAGAAGTACTATTATAAATTACACGTTATAGTACTTGATCAAATTTTATCTTATCACCGATATAGACCATAGTAACTCAATGTTAATTTCAGGATCCTAACGGATTTCGTATTTTTAACAAAACTAACAATGGAAATTTATATTATGATAATGATGACAGTCTAGAATTGGAAGAGAATGATGATGCTAATAGCTTGTCTGATAATAATGATAAAAGTCAAACTGATGGATTTCTAAGAGAATATTTTGATTTGCCCAAAGTAAAAAATTTCAGCTTAAAGCTTTAAATTTAAATAAATTTTTAAAGTTTCTTCGTTACGGTAATTGGAAAGTGGTAGCCTTTGCTGGAGATTACGAACATGGCTCTTCTAGCCGTTTTCATACTACAATTCGTGTGGAAGAATATGGCTAGTCAATCTAATTTTTCAACTTAAATTTAAATAATATTTTTAGAACTCCCAAAGTTTCATGTTTTTATGACTTTGGATGAGGTATCTGATTCACCATTTTCATTGAATATAGATATATTTGCTAGGTACTTTAAAATAGAAAAATTTATGGTTTTTAATTAATTTTTTAAATTAGATTTGCTCATGGAATGAAAGTAAAAGGTGAATTAACGCTTCGTTGTCTACCTGTAAATAAAGAAACTTCCCATGAAAATGATGATAAGGACACATCTTCAACTGCAAGAAAAATACTTTCAGCTCAGGTATTAGCCTAAGTAGCCATATTTTAAAAATTCCTTTTAGTTGATAGAAGGCCATTGGTCAGGCAAATTAGATCTTAAAGTCTGCGGTGTGTCAGAAGAAAAACGTCAAAAAATTAAATTAATTGCTGAGGTTACTGAACGTGGCTCTTTTTTGTCAGCAAAAACTGTTAAAGAATGGGATTTGTTTAATCCAGGCTTTGAACTGGTAAATTCATATCAATAATTAATTGTTTTGTGATCAAACTGAACCTTTTTTTTCAGATTCCTTTGAGACCAGCGTTCACTCGAAATACGCGTAAACTGCTCATTTATGTAGGTTTTCATAAATTTAGATTAAAATAAATAGATTTTTATTATATTTTATTAGTTACGTCGCCGTTTTCTAATAGAAGGCGATGCGGAATTAACCACACAATGTATTTCGGAAGAACGCTCATTAAACGGACTTAACCATTCTTTAATCCAACGCTTGGGTACTATTGCTGAGATAGAAATTGACATTAGATGCGTAGCCTATATTATTAAGGTATGTATAGATATCCGCTTTCTGTTATCCCGTACTGATATCCCGTTTTTATCAGGCCCGGCGCAAATTAATTAATGGAGGCTTTAGCACATCTGAAACTTTAGTACTTCCTTTGCTCGATGGATTCGATAAATTTGATCTTTCATTAATCGAGATAAATCAAAATAAAGGTGAATATGTTGAAGGTGAATTTGTTGAGGCAGTAATTCATAATGTTACTGGGCGAAACTTCAACTATGCGGTAAAAGTTGATATAAATTTGTTGAAAAGATCAATTTAGTTAATTTGTGGGAATGGCCGAGATTTGACTTCTGTTGGTCCTATTAAAGACGGCCTTGTCAGAATACAAATAACAAAACAAATTGGAACTGGTGCTTGTGTTCTCTACGTTTATGGTAGCAATGGAAAAAATTCAGAAATGGTTGTGGATATGCACCTTATTTTTAAAAAACCCGGATATTGTCCCAAGGTCGGTTTCAATTTTTGAATAAAAATAGCTAATATTTTAACAAAATAATTTATTTATTTTTTCTCCTTTCCCTCCATCTGATTTAAAAGTCCCCCTCTTTCAATTCTTTTTATTCCTTCGATCTTTTCGTTTTCATCCTCCTCAATCTGCTCGTAAAACAATTCCTGTTTATTGCATTTAGTCCAGTCTGTATTTAAAAGTTCTGTCCCAGTCAAAGGATTTTTCCAATATCCAAAACGAGTTAGATAATCAAGCACTTCTTCGCGATATTGAATATTGAATCTACATATTTAAATTAATTTAAATTTATTTTTGAAGCAAAACTCTTCTGGATCTCTTGCTAAAACTATTGTTGGTTGTTTTAATGCTTGGGTTAATACCAAGTATTTATAGTTTTCATTTTTGTCTGATAATGATTGTCCAACTTTGACTGGAAAATCTTTTAAAAATTAATTAGCTTTATGCCTGTCACTTTTAAAAACAAACATGGGCATGGTTCATTTGCTTGTCCCATTGTGATTAACATAGAGAAAGGGTCTGGACCATATTTTCGGCCAATTCCATGCGATATTCTTATTGACCCATCACTTGCGCGGATTGAATGTCTTATTGTTGAAAATGATGCAAAATTAGGGCTTTGGTCGAGTAATTTAACTTGGAAATTTTCTTGATTGGTAAACAAGCTTTGTTAACTTACATTGTGTTGTAATACAATGGTCCTGTTCAATTCTGGGATCATAAATCATCTTAAAAATTTATCCATCTCCTTGGGTTCTTTATTTTTGCGTAAACCAACCGTGTACCATTTCCCTGTCATTTTTTCAACATCCAAATCATCAACAGCAACATATAAGTTTCTTTGTAATTTTTCTGCTACCTGATCAGCGTTTACTTGTTTTATCAGCTTTTAATTAAAAAATATTTTTAACCCAATAAAGGAAACTTAAAAAATTAAAATTTTTGCCTTATTTAATTTATCCAGTGTAGGAGATGATCGGCAGAGGTTAAGAAAAAGTTCAAATGAACGAATAGCTGGGATACTTCTGCCCGGGACAATAACACCGCCATAATAATTAGTAGAAAGTACATCTAGATTAAAAATTTCATTTGTAGAAATTCATTGTCCTACCTTTATCAATTAAAAATAGTGTAAGTACGAATTTTAGTATAACTGCCGAAATTCTTTCCCTGATTTTTGAAGGCATTTTATTATCAAAATCTAGGTTAACTAAAATTCAGATTTGGAGTTTTTTCGCTAATTCAATAAATATTTGTCCAATTCCGATAAATTCCCCATTTTTGGGATGATTTGAAACAATAATTCCCCTTCCCCAAGTGCTGTCGTACAGTTGAGTTTGGTCGAGCTGTATATATTTATTTTTCCCTTTAAAGCTTTATATATGTATATATTTTAATCCTGGGGAGTGATGAGAGTATCTTCTGGAACGAAAGAATAAATGGAATGAATATGCATTTACGTTGATTGTTTTTTTTATTGTTGATTTTGATCGGAAAAGAGAAGGAATAAATCCTTTTTGTTGCGCGAAATGGATAAAAGGGAATATTTGTATTAAGGGATTTATTAAATAACGACCCAAATTTACTTGAAATTTCTCTCTAAAATTATTTGTTAAAGAGAAGTTTGCTTACTAAATCATGTGATTTGAATATCTTAAAAGCAAACAGAATGAAAATTTTTAATCCATAATAAGTTATTAGATTAATGAAATTTAATTATTTAGGATTATGGAATAATTATTCCCCATAAAAACGTGACTGTTGGAGTTCCTATTAACGTCACACTGCGATCACAACCAAATTCTTTAGCTACATTGCATATTTATGGTTTCTTAAAATATCCAAAAAAATTCTTAAAAAATATTCAGATAGTCGTTTGGATGCATTAATTAAACAATCTGTCCCTTCCTCCTCAAATAACCAATTATGGACTTTCTCTGAATTTCTCAACCCGGAACCTGGAGAACATTATTTCGAAAATTTTATTTGGTTTTCTAATGTTTTGGAATTGTCTAAATTATTTGCAAAAAGAAAAGAAATATGCCAAAATGCTGGAAAACTTGCTCCTCAATGTCCAGTTGAGGGTACTGAGCAGATATCAAACGAGCATATACAACCATCTAGTAAAACAAGGATACCAATTTCGGCTTCTAGATTTTCTACTGAATGCTTGCGTGAAATACAGGTGTATTTTGTTAATTGAAATTGTATTGTTATTTTGTTAATTAATTGTATTTTTTAATTTTTTAATTATTTTGTTAATTTATTGATAACACGGACAAAATTTAATCGAGTAAAATCCAAAAAGAACCGGGAGACTATTATATAATAAGCTAATCTAAAATCAAACGATTTATTCAAAACATTTATTTATTAGGGAGAATGTGAACGTCAAAAAACAATTAGAGAATCGGCTAATGGATTCTTAACAGAAAAAGGCCAAACAAATCAACAACAAAATGCTTGGCCGATAAAAACCTCTGGAAATGATAATCAACTTATGTGGATGTTAAATAAAAAGAGCTATGTCCAAAATGTTCAAGAAACATCAAATAATGTTGAAGTGGATGATTTGAAGGCAACTTGAATTTTTAAAGTTTATAATTAAGAAGAAAAAATTTAATTAAGGCATTAAGAAATGGCAACCAACAAATATTAAATAACGATGATGTTTTGTGGCGCTACTTCTTCCCTGATGTTTGGATGTTAAATGATTTTTATATTGGTCAAACAGGAGAATTGGAATTAAATCTAAAAACTCCACATACAGTAACTGAATGGTTATTTATTCCTAAATTTTGGACGGATGGACGTAGGGATGTTTGCCATCTGGTTAATAAACATGTTTTGTTTGTTCAGAAAGATGGTGAGAAAAAGTTAGAAATCTTAAAATAATACTTATCTCTAAATTTACAGTTTTTATGGATGTTGACGTACCTTCGCATATTTATGTTAATGAAACTATTTCAGTAAAGGTACTAAATTAATTTAAGGATGATAATTACTTTATTTTGATTTTCGAATTATTTAAATAATTTAATAGGTGACGATTACTGCAGAAAATCTAAATAAAAATGGAGAAGGTAAAAGAATGGCAGTTTGTTTTAAAGGCCTTTCACCTTCTGTTTGTGGAGATGTTGGGAGAGATGGTGTTGCTGGAGAGATAGATTTTACTCGTATAGAATTAACAGAAGAAAAGCCAGTACAACAAAAACAATTTTTTGTTCGTTTCCTCCGTCCAGGACTTCATAATCTTACTTTTGAGTTGAGAAATGAGGAGGTATTGAAAGGCCATGGTTGGCATTGTCGCGATGGGAATATACATGTTTTTGACCGCATAGTAAAGCAAATAAGTGTAACCAATCGTGTCGATATAGAAGAACATTTTCGCCAAATTGTTGTTTACCAGCGTCAAAGCTTACCCCCAAGAACTGTTACACTTGAAGATGTTTTGGGAGAGAAATCGAGTACACGTGCAACAACAGATCATTCTTCACAAAATTATTTAACCTTACGTTCAACACAAGATGTTATTAGTTATAGTCAACAACAACCTTTAAAAGTGGATGAAAGTCAACAAGACGATGATACAACTATTATTGACACTGAACAAGTTAAGAATCATCTAATTACTCAGGTAGATTACTCTGGAAAAGGGTAAAACCCTAATCAACGAATCAATGTCTTAAAATTTTCAGATTCAAATAAACCCTGGAGGTCTCAGAATTTTTAGCATTGGAGTAGAATTTTCAAAATTTGTTGCCTCCTTTCCTCCAGCACTTTCTACTGAATTGATAGCTGCCTCTTCACCTCTTTCACTCAATTCTGACCAATTTCTACAGCGTGTGCGCAATCGCTCACCAACAAATTTATTGTCACCTTCAATTGCTGAAAATTTACAAACACGTCGAAAACGTTCAAAAGGCAAAAAAGGAGGAAGAACCCAAAATAAAGAATTGCCTATAAGAAAAATATTGCCTAATATAGCGCTAATTAAAGGAGTAGATTTGGATAACAGTAAAGAGGTTGATAGACCCCTTCAAGGTTGAGTCCCTCTTGCTTTTATTTACTTTTTAAAAATAATTTTAGGCTATTCCCTGCCTAATTTGCTCAAGGAATTGGCTCAGGCGAGTTATGAATTTAAATCTTTGCGTGCTTTATTAGCTGGAATAGAAAATAATGAAGGTTCCAAAGAAAGTTTCTGGAATAATCCAATAGAAAAGGAATGGTTAGAACAACGGGAACGCAGATTGGGCAATTTATTATCAGAATTGCTTACCTTTTCTGATTGTCAAGGAAAGAAGTTATGTGCTTTTGGTGAATTTGGGAAGCCGAATAAACCTGAAGAACGCAGTTTGGTTGGTAGATTATCCCTTTGATTTGATTTTAAAATTAATTCTAAATAATTAAGGTTTTAACATCATTAGCAACTTCCCTACTTTGTGAACAAAGAACCCCTGATGAATATGTAAAATTAATTAAAAGTTAAAAATGGAAAAATATATCTTTATTATAGATATGTGCTCCAATTCAATTTCTTGCTCAATCCGTTCTAAAAATATTAAGTGAAGAAGAAGAAAAAGAGGAAATTATAGCAGGACTTGATGCTTTTACTAAATTTGTAAATAAATTTAAATCAGTATAATGATTTTCATAAATCCATGAATTGGGTACGTGAAATCCTAGGATTCTTTTTAGGAATACTTTATAATTTTAATAAATAAGTATTTTAGAATGACAAGAAGAGCAAATGGCTATTTCTACAAGCATTAATAGTCCAAGTTGTTCTGGATTGTTCAGCATATGCATGTGCAGCAGTAAGTTAATTTTAAATTGGAGAATAATTAAAATTATTATAATAATTATTTAATTATATTTATTATTAATTAATTAATATATAATAAATGAAAAAAAGAAAAAAATAGCCATTAATGAATGATCAGTCTTCTTTGGCCAAGGAAGCATGGATGAAACTGCACAGTTCTTTTTATCGTTCTGTTGATCTGAGTGTAGACTATGATGTGAAAGTAATTGCTGCTCTTGCTTATATGTCTACACCGGCTATAAGGTAATTTTTCGATTGGGAGATTATTTGATTAGAGAATATTTTTAGAAGTGAGATGCGAGCAAAACTTGCTGGGAAAACTGCTAATGATAACCATATTCCATATTGGAGTGTGACTGAGGGTTTTTCGAATAAATCAGTCAAAGTGCAAAATTTATTCGAAAGGAGTTTGCAAAAAGTGAATTTATTTGGTCTATTTAATCCAAAAATATTTTTTAGAGTTCAATTGTTCTTGTAAATGCTTTAGCTTTACTAGCATATACACAAAACCAAAGTATTTATAAATTCTGGAGGAATGAATTTAATTTGGAGGCGTTGAGTAATTGGTTAATTGAGCAGCAAGATAGTAATAGACAATATGAGAATGCTTTGGTGATTTTTTAAAAATATTTTTAAAATTTGTACTATCTAGGACACTTTCTTTGCTACTCGTGCATTACATCAATTTGCTGTTGTTAATGCGCAAAGGCAAATGCGTCAAGCGTTGGCAGGAACACTTAATGTAGTAGTATTTATATACTTATAGTGTTAAATTTTTGCAACTAAGGTACATATGGTCCTTATGTATCAAAGATCTAGCCGACAGAAAAATATTCACGATTTCGGAAAATTGGGATACGGAGTTAAAAAGGGTAGGGAATTCCAATTTTCGGGAATCAGGTTGGCTAGATCCCCGTTATTTATAATTCCCACTTCAAAAGAATAATAGTTGGATAATAATAATTTGTGTAGGGAGTAGATACCACATCCATCTTAACGAGAGTAAACCTTATTTAACAACCCTATTTAGGCAAATTTCACTGTATATTCAACATCATCAAATAGTAGCAGATTATTTAAAGGTCATGATTTGCCTTTTGGGATATTTGTAGAACCTACAGTCCGTCAAATGGAGCTTAAATCTCGAGGAGATTCACAACTCTTATTAGGCGTTAAAGTTCAAGTAGAAAAGAGAAAACGTTCTCGTCGTGATCCAAGTGATGGTGAACCGATTGTTTTAAGTTTAGAACAAAAAAGGATACAAGCTGGATTTATAAATCAAACAGTTACAATTCGGTAAATGAATTAAAGTTGTAAAATAATTATGTATTTAATAAAGTTGTAATTCACATTTACTTAATTCAATTCAAATTGAACATGGCATATTTACTGGATTCAGTACGTATCCACATTTTGTCTATATTTTGGTTAATTTTTAATAAATTTCTTAGAAATTTAAATTAGGTATTTGATAGAGAGGCCCAGCAAAGTTCCAAGTAGAACCTCGCATTAGTGCTACAGCTGTCCATTTTGTTCTGACTAATTTAATTAAAGAAGTTAACGTTGTTTATACAAGTAAATATTTTTAATAGCATATACATTGGGGATGGGCTCTTCCATGTTTTAAAAACAGGAGGCAAAGAAAACGGAAAAGTATATGTATAAAGCGGAAGACGTAAGTTGGAAACGTAAGGGCCAAAAAACTGAAGAGCCTAATTCAAATCATCCGATCTCTCTAATATTTTTTCATTCAAGTTGCATTAATCGAACCAAATGGAGGCTATTTACCGGAGAATTTGGCACCTATCTCCATTAGTGCAATGCATCATCGTTAGTCTTTTTTAACAGAAAATTTTAATCAAATTAATTTTCTTTTTACTAAGATTTATCACTTGCTCAACTTATTGTTTTGCCCCAAGATTTTGATTTTCTTGAAGACTTAACAACGTTATCTAGGAGACGACGTTCAGTATTAACTAATTCTGATGGGGATGTTCTTCCTCCAGCAATATTTCCAGTTGCTACTTCTTTTCTTAGTCCATTAACAACACCCAAAAAGGATAATGAGGAAATTAATATTTTCAATGTAAATTTGTTTGAAATATTTTGTTTTATATAAATCCTTCAAGTCAACAACAAAATCAACACAACACAATCAATTTTTAAATCTGATCTCAGAAAAGAGCGATAAGCCTCAATCCGAGGTGATTTCATTATTTATTTTTGGATTCAGATTTAATAGAGATTGGAACTTTTTAAAAACCTTGACTTTGATTCCTGATTTTGGTGTGGACCTTAACGAGATTCTTGACCTTAAGCCAAGGAAAAATCAAGGAATATTGAAAAATGACTTGGTCTTAATGCTTGATCCAGAAAAAAATTAAAGTCTGCATCCAGATCCAGGCCGTTCTCTTCTAATATTTAATCATCTAATAATTAAGCTAACTTCGATTTGTTAATATTTTTTCTATAGATTGTTGAAACAATTTGCCTTCAAAATGGAGTTTGCACTTGCGCGGAGCTAAGCTGTACAGTCAAATGTTCCTCTTGTGCCAGGTTATTGTTTTCACACATGTGAAATTCAAGTCATATTTTTTAGGCTTACATTTGGTGAACTTTGTGAAAATATCAACGCTCCAGAAGGACATAAATTTGGTGGGTCAATTAGAAAAGTAATTTAAGTACGAACCTTTAGGTTTTTTAAGTTAGTTTGAGCCCTTTGGGTCTTCCTATAAATTAGCTTTATTAAATTTAATTTTCTTTTCTAATTATCTAATTGTCTAAATTAATTAAAAACGCCTTATTGTCTGATTTATCAATTTTTAATCTTTAACCTTTCTTTTAATTTATTATCAGTCTAGTTATCATATTTTTATTTATTTTTTAAAAATATTTTTGTCCGCAATTCTAGTCATTTTTTACTCATTTTTACCTTTTGCACTTAACTTCCCTTTTTTCAAAAAGTCATACGACCTCTTCATAAGTCAGACAAATAATATATTTATTTATTAAAATAAATATAAATAAATACTTGTACTTTATATAAACACATTTTGTTTAAAAAAAGTCTCGAAAAATAATTTCGGAAAAGGGCGGCTGTTTATAACAAAATCTCAGATCTTTTTGTTAATACCTGTTGGTTGCTCTTTTTAATTGTTTTTAATAAAAAGGGATTAAATATATTTATTATACATAATCAGATGGGAATTTTTAAATGAAATAGGTATTAACGATTATTTACCTATTTATGGAGATCACATTAGATTGAAAAATAGAGATTAGATGGGGAAAATATCAGAGAATATTATTTAAAAAAAATTTTTCCAAATCTATCAATAGGTCCTTTGAGTAGATAAAAGTCGAGGGCATATTATTGAGGCTACTAATTGAGGTTATATAAAAGTTATCCTTCGTAAGGAAATACAAGATAAATCTTATTTTTAAGGACAAATTTTAAATATGTATTTTTTGTCTAATATGCAAAGATTTTTAATCCTGTCAGTTCTTGCTTATTTTCTGATATCTAGAACCGAATCGAAAAATCCTTTGTCCTTTGGTTCAGTTTCGAACCGTCAACCCTACTCATATCTTTTCGAAACATAAAATTAACAAATTAACCTTAAAATTTCCAAAATTTTCGTTTGATGCGAAAAAGATGGAAGAGATCTGGCTTAAGGACTTCCAAAATTCTCAAAATTATTAAAAAAAATTATTATAATTCTCAGAATTATTTATTAACTAATTATTATAGTTTATTAATGATATTAACAAATAATTAATTCAAACAATATTAAATATTCCCTCTTAATCATTTTTCAAAAAAATTTTTTAAATGTGTTTTGAAAATGACAGTAATATTCTATTTAGTATTTATGCTTTCAATATTTAAATACACAATTCTTTTAATAACACTTTATTTGAAAAAGGTGTGAATAACTTGTTAATATTTTTTTATAATTTATTTTTTCTTCTTTTTAAAGGACACTTTTTATTTTAAATATCTCGAAACTTAATCATTTTGTTTTTTAAACAAATACAAGAATTAAAATAAATTAAATTTATTAGATAATTTAGCAGCTTAAAAGTTGCTTTAATTAAATATGGGATGAGCAACAAAATTTTAAAAAATAATTATTGGGAGAATGGCATGATTTTTGGGTTGTTGTTGGATACAAAATAAAAATGCTAAAGTAAAAATGTGTAAAAGATAGAAAGTCTGAAATTAAATGTTCTTTCGACGTTTGATCCTAGGGCCTGCTCAGTCGTCTTTTTCCTTTGGCCATGAGTCCACAATTTTTATTGCGGGGCCGGACTTCGGATAGAGCCCTCCAGAATCAATACTGATCGAATTTTATAGGGTTTTTGTAGAGTAAAGTGAAGAAAAGTTTTTTGGAAGAGTAGTGTTTTTGTTAGTCTAAAAAATAAAAATTAAATAATTTTTAGTTTTGATCATTATTTTACCTTTAAAATCAAAGACCAAATATTTTGCTGTCATTTTCTGGGTGCTAAGAGTTTTTTTGTTTAAAATTGAACAAAAAATAGTTTTGAATAAAGCTAAGGATAAAGAAGAATTTTAGTTGATAAGGAAATTTTTTTTGAAATTTTGTAGGTTTCGGAAGCTGAAGCGTAAGTAAGGAGGGATGAAAATTAATTGACCGGTTTTTGCATCGTTGTTGTTTTTTGTATTCTCGCAATTTCTTAAAAATATTTTGAAGTATTTCAATATTATTTTTTGTTGAGCGTATTTGCGAGAATGCAAAATTGGTTTTTGTTGTGGTGGTAATTCTAGTTGAGGAAATTATTTTTTATTTACATAAGAAACTAGAGATCATTTAGTTGTGGAATTCCTTTTTTTGTTGGAATTTTTACATCTGATAAAAAATATTTTTTAGTTTGTTAAAATTATATTAATGAAATGAGAAGAAATTAATATATTTTTAATCAGTAAAATTTTATCAATATTAAGCTAAGGATTAGAGACCGGCTCCCTCTAGTAGACGCATGCCCCTTTGAAGGATGATTGAAAAATAAAATGTCCGGGCATTCAATTAGAAATTTACGGTGTATAATTTAATTAGTAAAAAAAATTTTAATCAGTAATAAGCTAATGATGTTGGCTTTTAGCCTCTAAATTTGGAAATAAACTATATATTTTTCCAATAATTTAATAGAATTTTATTACCTTCATTTGAAAAAAGAGAAATATAAATTTAAAATTAAATAAAAATTTAAATTTTGTAAATGTGTATATGTATGTATGTTCTTCTCTTTTGGATGGAGTCTTTTATTTGGCCAAAAATGGGCGGGTCGGTTGTCAGGAATGGAATCGAGAGTAAAGGGAGATAAGAGAAATGAAGTGAGAGAAAGAAATGTTTAAAAAACTATTTATTATTTAAATGACGCAAAACTGCAAAACAAGCAATGGACCTCTGACTAATTTAGCCACGTTTCTTTACCTCGCGTTTTAGAGAAATTTCAAGAAAATTTTTGAATTTTTCATATTTCTAAATTAAGATTTTATTTTAAATATTTCTTTGGCTTGCTATTAAAATTTTTTAATATTTTATAATTTTTACTGATTCCATCACTGAAGCATACACCCTTAAGACATATTGACCCGGAAGACCTACCTACCTAACCCTGAATACCTATTTCCTTGAGGACCTACTCCAGTTTCATTAAGACCATTTTTACTTTTTATTTCTTCACAAATCGGGGAATTGGAGGGGTTAAATGGGATAAATATGGATTTGGAGGGATTAAGGATGGTTGAGATCGTTTTGACGGGGCTAAGCAAGGAAGGTTTTGGAAATTCCCGTTTATTCTTTCAATACATGCAAATAAAACTTGAATTTGCATAAACCACAAAAATCCATTCAAGTAATAAATTTTATTTTATTTTCCAAATATAGAAATATTTGGTATTTTAGTTTTTACATAAAAAACTTTATTACCTGCAAAAATATTTTCCATCCATTTTTTATTCATATTTTTAAATTGATTAATTTATTTTTTGGTTTATTTATTCAGTGACTATTTTTCTCCCAATAATTCTCTCAATCCTTCCAAATCCTTTCAAACAATACATAAGACCACAGCAGTATGTGTGTGTTTATTACTAGTTTTTATAATCATGTAAAGTTCAAAATATTTTTTATCAGATTGCTTTAAAATTTTGTTCTGCAAAGCTAATTCGTTCTCTCTAAAGCTTTCTTCATTCAAAAATATTTTTATATTTCATTAATTCTTTAGATACTTCAGAACCCTAGATACAATTTCCTTCCTTATATTCTGGGTTGATTATTCTTCTCGATTTGTCTAAACTTTCACAATTTAATTCGTAATAATTCTAGTTTTCTGACTCATTTCTAAATTTATCTAACGTCATACGACAACATTTTAAGAGTTATTTTTAACTCAATTCTTGTCGATTTATTGTTATTCAAATTCTTCTTTTTATTACTTAAACGTTTTTAACGTTCAAAACTAAGAAATATTTGTTATTTACTAAAATTAGTCACATTTTTAAACGTGACTATGTCCGCTTCACTTTTTATATGTGAGGACTTTGTATTCATAATTTAATTTTTAGAATAATTATAAAGCTTTAGCATTTGACTAAAAAAGCTGACTTAGAGCATAAATTAAAAAATTTCACTTAAATTATAAATCGGGAGCAGAATCTTATGATTACGATGAAAAGCTAAATAGTATATTTTTTATATTTCAAAAATATATACATATTCTATTATTTAGAAACCAGAGATTAGACCATAACTAATCAAAAAATAAAATCTTTATAAAAGCACCAATAAAATACCCATAAATACAAAATAATACCAAAAGATAACTAAAATAAAAATAAAGGTTTATCGTTATATGTAATATTACTTACAAATAACAATAAACTTCTTAAGGCTATCAAACATTCAAATTCAATCTCAGACTTTTTTTATAGTTCAACATCATGTTTTTAAACATTCTATATTAATTTTATGAAAGATATAAATAAAATTTACATAACAAACAAAAAATTATAAAAACAAATTAATCAAAAAGTATCTATGTATAGTAGTGCAAAGACAAAAAATATTACAAATATTTGGGATATTAGGTAAGGGATAAAAGTTGGCTAGAGGTGATTATGGGGGTGAAATTGATGATGAAAAATATGGAGATGAAATAGTGAAGTATTTTTATATGTTCAATTGAATTCTTTCGACGTTTGATCCTAGGGCTAGCTCATCCGTCTTTATCCATTGGCCATGAATCCGTCAATTTTATTACGGGGCCGGAAGTCTGGTAGAGTCTTCTAGAATCAATACTGATCGAATTTGTTTCTTTTAGATTTCAAATTTTTCTGGGCACTTTTGATCATTTGATTATTAGTAGGGTAGATAGTAGAGTGCAAAATATTTTTAAGCTAATAAAATTAGAGGATTGAAGTCTTCACATTTACAGATTTCTAATTAGTTCTAAGAATTATTTATTCAGTTTTTGTTGAAACTGCATTTAATCTTCCCATTTGGGATTAAAAATAATGTTGCTAATTTTTATATTAATGTTAATTATAAAAATTATTTACAGGGAGCATAAGCTCTTTCTTTTAGTGCTACATCTGAAAGTTTTTGAGTTTTATTAGAGAAATTCTTTTTTTTTTTAATTTAAATCTTCTGGTTTT